ACCGATTCGTTGCGGCACCAATTTTCGACAACTTTTAGCTGTGGCGGCGAACAAATAGTTCATGACACGCTTGGCGTGTGTTGTGTTCTTTTTATGGTTTTTTTACTTGTTTAGACCTAATTAAGTTTATTTGACATCAAACATCAGTTACAAACGGAAGGATACTTGTTTTTAGTGGGTAACTACGTATTTTTCTATGTGTTTTCTTTGAAATTGAAAGTGACTTTTTTATGCAGATTACAAACCTTTTGTACTATTTTTTTGTTTTATAAAAAAATCATTTATATAAGTAGGTACAGCTAAATCATCCTGGAAAACCTTGGTCCTTATTAAATTAAATTTTCACCTAATAATAACATTTGTAAATATGAAACAATCAAGATCCTCAATTTGGAAAAAAATAAGGTTCATGATTCATTGATATTTACAAATGTTAAATATTATTTAATGTTATACAAATGTAAAAGTAAAGTCGATCTGAAAACGTCTAATTAGTAAGAATAGCAAAACAAGTGTTTTCAAAAGGAAATAAACGCCGGCCCTATACGGCGGCGGATTGACAAAAGACTATTTATTAGCAAACTTTTTTTATGCATGAACGGTTTCAAACTGTTTCAAGCAAAAATAAACCTTATACCATATCACAAGAGCACATGGTACTTCGTAGGTCTATTCGGTCATATGATAGTAATAAGACGGCAGATCAATCATTTTAAGCAAAATTAAACAATAAGACAAACGCATTGTTTTTTTTTTTTAACAGGAGACTTGTTTTCCAGAAATTTATTTAAAACTCGCGTTTGTGAGCGATCGCAATGAGTGCTATTATTTGTTACTTATTAGACTATTTTCCAACAACATGATTGAAAACCCACAAAGTAAAAAGAGTACCATGTACAAGTTAAAAAAAGGTTGTCAACCCCTAAAAATTTCAAATTTTCAAAATATTCAGAACGCCTGGCGTGCCATCCGCACTGAACTGGTTAAACATAGGCATTTAATGCGATTGTCAAGTCAATTTATTTATTTAAAACATAAAAAAAATATTGATATGGTCACTATAAGATGTTGTTAGGTTAGCTAACTACGTAATAACTTAAGACAGAAGAACCCTTAAGTAGGGACTGAATAAATTAACCGACTTGGTATTACATGGATCTCTCAACTTTTTACGGTAGAAGAACTGAGTTGCGAGACTTGGTTTTTTTACAAGTTATGTTTTTGATGGTATCTCATTTCTTTTTGTAGATAGTTATATATACATAACCTATCTACACCTATTATTCCATTATATTATACATATATAGGTACACTGATTCATTCACTGCAAATGTAACTTTGTAATCCTATATATTTATATGGGATTACAAGTTATTGATGCAGTTAATGTATCTCGAAAACTGGACTGAAATTGTAAAATATTTTAATTTTTGCTTGATTTATATACTACACAATAATTGTATTCCAAATTTGAAGCTTCTACGTCTGCTAGAAGTGCCTTAGAGTTTTGATGATCCATCAGTCAGTGAGTGACAAAATTAAGAAACTTTGACTAGATATAATTCTTAAACTACTGGTTCAAATTTAATGAAATTTGAAATATACTGAGCTTATACAATTCCTAATTGGTTACTTAAAATTCAGGCTTCTAGTTTTATTCACAACGAAGTTATAGGGTTCCGAAAATGGCCTGAACTGCTTCGAGGAAAGGCTGGTACGGCCGTGCCGCCTTTTTTGCTCGACTTGGCACTCCCGTGCCCCCAGATTACTATTGTAACTGTCTTATATATTTATTGATCTTTTTATTGTTACTATTATATTTTTATTTACATACTTAATTTAATAAAATTTCTTATTAATATAAACAATAAAATGCAATATTTAATAGAAGTAAGACGGTTTTATGAAGTAACCAAAATAACTATATATTAACTTTTTTATAAAAACAAGTCCAATTTATTTTATTATTATATAAACATTCTAAACAGATTTAGAAAAGTCATTATCATACTCATGTTTATTAAATCTAAGTGGTAGGACATCTTTTGCTGTCTAAGACTGCTATAACCTATTTCTGCTGCCAAATAGCAATGTATGCTGTGTTGAAGGGCCATTTCATCTTAGTCCCCAGTGATCAATGCAACACATTTGTAGCCAACTTTATTTGATGGTAGACGCAATGGATCATAAATTGCATTAGCCACTTACCACCATGTGAACTGTAAGTTCACTGATTACTTTAATTTTATAAAAAATATGTTGATTTGAAATAAGTCATTATGAACCGATGTATATGACATCCTACCTACTTAATATTAATTATAATAAATTTTCTAAAGCTACCAACTAAGATAAAAGTGGTGAAAATTTTAATATTATAAGTTTAAAATAGTGTACAACTGCCACCTAGTGCACTATGGGTACACCCACTGATGACTTTTCACTTAACGTGTCAATATTACATAAATGCAAAAACCTACCTACCTTTTTAAAAATAATTAATTATTATTATCATTGAATTATTATTATTTTTAAAAATAATTAATTATGATTATTATTAAATACCTACCTTTTTAAAAATAATTAATTATTATTATTATTAAAAAGGTAGGTAATTTTAATTTTAACAATAATTGCTAACGTTTTTCTTGGAAACTTCCTTCAGCTTGAAGGTCCTTGGGGATTGTGAAGTCCATAATCCTTACTTTGGATGTAGACAGCTGCATTTCTGCAAAAAAAAATTAACAAAAATTTATAGATCATAGAATTAAGTATAGACGAGAATATATTATGTTCATTATATCCGTCATTTATAGAAAATAAAAATACTTTCTAATGGTTATTGGTTGCAAAGTCACAACTAAAAAAATTAATGGTTTTTTAAGCAAATTACCTGTGTTTATTGGCATCATGTGTGGGTATGATTCTAACACTTCTGTTTTAAAATAGGTGTGGTCATGCCTTTTCATCGCATGCTGATGGTCATCAAGAGCATTCACATTTTCTAGTAAAAAAAGAACAGATTTTGTTAAATTTCAAAACAAAAACAAGTTCATAGTACATACATAGCATAGTTTTATTTTGTATAGAAAAGCTATTAATTAAAATATATCAACTTACGAATGCCCTCCGAACGGTTTAGTGGAATGCCAGTGCTGTCTCAAATTCCAGGAACAGCGTTGTATAACCTATGTTTAAAATATGTGATTTTTCCTGTAACAAAACGAGATTCAAAATGTTTGTGACAGACTTGCAGGTGGGCAAGATCACTAACACTTTTCTTCTGTAACAAATCACAAGGAATCAATTCAAGCCACTTTTTGAGCATTTTTTCATTGGGGGGAAATTTGTGTAAAATAGCTTCCTGTCGCGAACTTGTACAACCTGGTACACAACACTTATAATACATAATATCGAGAGATATAAAATACAAGTAAATACAAAGAAAAATGCAAACTAAGGGCGGAAATAAATTAACGCAACCAAACGGAATTTTTTATCAGTAAATTAGTAATGTCACACAGTGACACTATGATTCAGGGCCGGTCAACTTCCTAATAGCAGATTGGCACCGGGAGATGACCTTGGGGGGCTTTAAAGAAGCGAGATGGAATAATATCTATCTCCCTCGCACGTTATGTTATATTGCCATGAAAGAAATATTATTTTAAATGACACATCATTTTAATCATTTTTTTATTTAATAATTATAATACTTTATTATATAATACATTTCGTTAAACATATATTTATTACGTCTTTATTGAAGTAACAAAATGTATAAATATGAAACTGCGTACTATAATAAAAAGGCAAGTTATGGCAACGACAAATAAACAAAATTACAAATGGCAGATCCGTTGCGCTTGCTGTTGCGTTCTTGTTTATTTGTGTTGCAAATTAAGTTTATATTTCGATATAAACTTATTTCTTACATTACTAACGTTGAGTTGAACATTCCGTTCCTCCGTTTTAGTGTTTACAGTGAGAAAGAGACTCAAAAACAAGGGATAAAATTTCCAATATGGACCATCGATTTAAATGCCCATATTTTTTTTGTACTCACTAAAAGAAACCGTTTTGCAAAGTTTTAGGTTGCGGAAACTTACGGTTCATGAGATATATTTTTTTTAACTTTTCATACAAATTGGCAAATAACACGTAATTACAAATTATGTCAAACGTCAATCACTTCACGTTTCAATTAGTGTAGGGTTCCGAAAATTTTGAAAGTATCGATACCTACTCGATACCAAGTATCGCATGAAAAGTATCAATACTACTTGGTATCGAGTACATTTCGTTAATGTTAAATTGCGTTCGTGAACACAAATTTACCTCAAAGAAAGATATGCAAAAGTGTTATAGGACGACCTCCTACTAGCAACATCGACTTGATTATTCAAATTTGTTTTATTTTAACAGTACCTATTAGGGTAGATAACAAATAAAATAGGTTAGGTTCAACTTATGTCAAAGAACCGAATTGGTTGACCCCGACTCCACGTGGTACTAGTCTGTCCTACCCCTAGAGTGGTTTTAAAAAGCCGGAGACGTAGCAGTCTCCAAATAGATAAAGAAATCCATCTGAATCAGTTACCCTACTTTTTATGACGAAGGAGATTTTCTTTTCTCTTAAAATGGATTCTAGATCTAGTGTTATCGTTGTATTTGAGTTTTACGTTTCAATTTAAAATCAGCATTTGTAAATCGTAGTTCATCCAATTATTTTTACTTTAAATAGAATCTTGTTCTAAAGTAAATATTACTTCAGAAAGTATCGATATCTACTCAAAATTCGTAAAAAGTGTATCGAGTACAAAAATACTTGATATTGAATTGGAAGTATCGATATTACTCAGGTATCGATACTGTTTGCGAATCACTAACGATACCAACGGCCATTTTGTTTAATAGCGTCCAGTCACCGTTAGTCACCTGTTGCCCTTGCAGTTGAGATCGTTTTACGTACTCCTGTAAGCTTACAACGTTTGACTACCATGGCGTCTCCGAAGCCCCATGCTTCTGTGTCTGAAGAGTTGAGTGAAGTGCGAGTGTTGGACTCAAATGAGCCGCTTGTCACGGCCTCCTCTTCTGTGCCGTCTTCAAGTAGTGCGCGAGTGTTGGACTCAATGGAGCCGCTTGTGCCTACTACTACGCAAGTGCAAGTGTTGGACTCAAATGAGCCGCTTGTCACGGCCTCTTCTGCGCCGTCTTCAAGTAGTGCGCGAGTGTTGGACTCAATAGAGCCGCTTGTGCCTACTACTACGCAAGTGCAAGTGTTGGATTCAAATGAGCCACTTGTGCTCCCGTGTGTGCGATCCTCGGTCCTTGACGAACCGGTTGCTGGTCCTAGTGGGGTGACTGGTCCCAGTGGAGCAGCTGGTTCTTGTGGTAGCCTATCAGCTATAACTAGTTCTTCGGAGGACGAGGGCGAGGAATTTGCTGCTGCGATGCCCAGACTAACCGGGTCATCTGGCAGAAGGCTTAATCCTTACTCGGATGAGTTAAGGTCAGTTTTGATTTATGTTATGATTACTGTACAATATCATTGTTATTTCAGGTCAGGTCAGGTTATAAAAGGGCGTATAATTAGTCATATTTTTAATTTGCTCACTGGAATTTTAACAAAGTTAGATTGCATAAGGGCTGCAGTGGATTTTAAAATAAAATTTATAGCAGAAAAATGGAGAAAAATTTGTCCTGTTTTCACTTCACAATGCAATTTGTATATATTTTTATTTGTGGAGAACCAGCCCCCAAAAAGCAGAATATTATAATATATTTATAATACCTTTTCTTTTATTCAGATCCATGTGGAACTGGAGAAAAATCTTCTCCAAATTGGGTACACGCGAACAGTGTATTCAGTTTGCGGAGGAGAGAGGACTCATCCCAGTAGACAAAATCTGCAGATACTACCGGAAGTCAATGATTTTGACAAAATCATCAGGGCAAGTTGGAAAATTTAGATGCCGGAAAAGCAACTGCCGCACTAAAACAGTCTCCCGTTCTATTGGGACCTGGTTTGAGAACGCACACTTGTCCCTCACTTTAATTTTTCAAATGATGTATGCATTTTGTGAGGGACTATCTTACCACCAAACAAGGAAGGAGCTAGCCTGTGATGACGGCCCAGTAGTTTCAGCCAGAACTGTGGCTGACTGGTTCAGTTATTGCAGGGAAACAATTTCCATTTTTGAATTAGAAAATCAAAGGGCCCAAGGGAAGATAGGGGGCCCTAATAAAGTGGTTCAAATAGATGAGTCTAAATTTGGAAAAAGGAAATATAACCGTGGGAGACACATTGAAGGACATTGGGTGATTGGCATGATCGAAGATGGCAATGACGATCTGCGGCTTGAGGTGTGTCCTGATAATAAAAGGTCTGCGGACATATTGGTGCCACTCATAAAAAAACATGTTCAGGAAGGCTCCATCATTCACACAGATTATTGGAAAGCATATCTGAGCCTTCCTGAGCATGGATATATTCATAAAAGAGTAAATCATAGCGAACCAACTGAGAAATTTGTGGCACCAGACGGGACACACACGCAGCGCATTGAGAGCCAGTGGAGAGGTTTAAAAAAACAATTTAGACAACAACAAAACAAGCTTAATTTTACGGATTGGTTGTGCGAGTACTCGTGGAGAAGAAAAATAATGACAAACCATTTAGATCCATTTGAAGAGCTAATACGTGCAATTAAACATTTATATAAAATAAAATAAAGTTTACTTTATTCTTCATTTGATCTAGTTCATTTACCCCCCCCCCCCCCCCCCCCTACCCCCTTTTTTCATCAGACACTAAAAACATCATCAAAATCATTCTATTTAACTAAATAGTGCTATTCTAACCTCAAAACTTTAACCATGGATATCTCCATAACCATGGAGTTCCGCAGGGTGGGGATGGCACATTTGGGTAGCCCTCTCCCCCCCCCCCCCTCCCTCCCCCCTCCAAAACCTCAAATATCGATGGTCCATATTGGAAATTTTAACCTACGGTACGTATGCTAAATAGCTTTTTGATTACTGATTAAAACAGTTTTAAAATGTTTAAATTTGAACCACTGAATTAATAAAGTAGCAGAAATAAAAATTATTATGGGCCGCATCGGCTAATAAAACCTAAGATACATATTAAGCGATTTAAAAACGTGTGCAAATAAATCTGAAAATTAGAGAAATTATGCAGAACAGCATGAGGTTTATCACATAGAAATCATAACATAATAAAAAGTTCTAGATGTATTGGTACACATAGAAATAACTTGTGGAATAATATTTATATATGTATACAATACAATCACATTGTTTGAAAGGAACAATCTTCTTGTATTGCACTCTTCTTCCAAGCATGTTTTTAGCACCTCAGTAGTATATTATTATCTAATTGTATTTTTTCAGTGTGTGAATTATGGGCGAAGTACTGTTTTCCTCGTGAATCTTGGTGGTCACCAGAATTTCAAAACAATCTTCATTCTAGGCATTTAATGTTGTGCACTAAACATTTTAAGAAATCATCATTCATTGATAATTTTGGAAAGAGGCTAGTCAAATCTGCAGTACCTGATGAGGAATGTGATAAGGTTAGTTAATCTTTCTTTTGTTACTATCTACATTTTTTTCTTTTGTGTGGCTTTTCTCATACTACAGTGAAAATATTATCTAGTTAACAAACGGTGGTAGCAGATTGAGTGGTGATTTATAAGGGTATGCAACGTTACCTACCATTACTTCTCAACCATAAAAAAACAAAAGATATAAACTTTAAAAAAAAGTTATCTTTTATTTAAAAAAAAAAACCTTATCCATACTAGGATTTTCTCCTCTTTGTGGAGGCAGTTTACAAACATAAATTGGATGAGGATAAACAACCCCCGGCACAATTATTTATAGGCCTTGGGTCAATTTAAAATCGGTGGCAGAAAATGTGACTGTAAATTTCGAAAACAAAAGAAAATAAAATTCTGTTTAACTTAGTTGTATAGGTATTTATGCTATGTAGATATCATTGTTAAATGCAATATCGTGGTTGGGCCCGATGTCTTGCCACTATTTTTAGATTTTCAAGTAATTTACTAGTGCAGGGTAAAAAAAATTACAACTCTGTTACCATCATATATTTATTCATATTTAAACAACAAACAATTATTTTTAGAAACATTCTTTGTTATGAACATTAATTAAGTCTTAATCTCATGTTCAACATGTAAAATTACACAATAGTTCTTCTTAAGTAGGAACAGTAATGGAAGTTAAATATACTCTGTTACTTCCTTTGTTTTAATGATCAAATTTTCACTATAAACTATGTAAATTGAATTAAATTATTAAAATATAATGATGATGTTGTTTATAAATGAGAATATTAAATAATTAATAAACAATGCATAGAGTCAGGTGTCAGATTTTCATAAAATTCGAGACATTACTCTTATATATTTAGGGACACAAAAGTAACAAAGTTGTAGGAACAATAACATAGTTGTACTATTCGCAACAAATTTATGAACTACTATCACAAAAAACAATATTTTTGGCTATGAATTGTTTTAAGAAGTTTAGAAACAACTAGATTATAAAACTTAAGGGGAAAAAGCTAAAAAATCTTATTGAGATCAAATTAAACCTAAGCTGATAACTTATTTTTCAAATATCTCTAGTGGAGTATGGAACTGGTAATATACCCTTTTGCCTTTATTTACTTTTTAGGTACTGAAACAACTCTTATGAAACTCTCATATTGTTCATATGATATATCATTTTAAACTAATTTGTATGTTTTTTTAGTATCGTCAACAGAATTTAAAAAGACAATTTTTACTTCACCATCATCGTCTACTTCGCTTAATGCTTTGCCTAGATAAACACTTACTTTCAGAATTGTAAACTTTAACTAAGACCTAGACTCCTTCTTTGATTTTACTTGGATGAATATTTTCTTTATGAATCAAGTGATTCTCATCATTTTTTTCTTTAGACAAGCAGGGTTGATCTGATGCCTTATCTTTTAATCGTAGCAAAGGATTATCATCATCTGATTCCAAACTCGAACTGTAAATTACATTGTAAAAAGATTTCCTTTTCTGTTCAATCAAATTACTTATATCCGCTAGATTAGTAGAATTACTCCTTTGATTCTTCGACTGTATCCTTTAGTGGACAATAGTTTTTTGGATTCATTCGTGAGGAGAAACCAAGCTAGCAGAATCAGCTCAACTCTCGATATTTCAGCGCTCCCACTTCTTCTGTAATACACTAGTAGTACACTTGATGTACTTTCATTATACCATAGAAAGGAACAATTTCTGCTGGAATTTCATTCGCGATTCTTTCAATATCATAATCAGTTCAAGATTGACCTTAACTCTACTACTATCTTTCAGAGACTGATAGAACGAAGACGCTATCAGAATGTCTTTCCCAACAGCAACAAGCTGGTCAGCAGTCCGTTTTAGAAAGCCACCAACACCAACAGCTGCTCCTTTGCCGTGTCTCGACTCGAAAAAATTCCATGTAGACTTGGTGAGGTTGTACTTTGAGAAAAGTTTTGTCCATATTAAGCAGAAGTTTTGATTCTGGCGGTACTGAGTAGCGGGTCATCTGAAAATATGTGTATCACTTTTATCTTAGGGGATTGGTCTTGAATTGAGGAAAGTATAGGATGAAGGTGACTCCAGATTGCCGAAGGGCCGTGAGAGAGGTTACCTGATACTGTACAAAAAGACTTCACCTCTATGTTTCGATTTTCCAAGCTTCGCTTATACAATACGCCAGTATGTAAGGATACCTGGTTACGAGTATCACGAAAGTGGTGTGATTGTATCACTTCATGGAACTTGCAATTGTAATTTTCGCTGAAATCTACGTGTAGCGCTATTTTTTCTTCTGTCAATCCATCTATACAAGATCTGTAGTTTCTATACTGAGTTGAGTCATGTCTTTTATTAAACGTTTCTTTTTATGATATCTCTCTAAATCCTTCTTCTTAGTTTCCGCTACCTCTTCAGGGTTTTATTTGCACTTTTCTTTATAGCGCCGCTGCTTTTCAGCAGCGGTGAGAGCCATAGCGAAGTACTATGTATTATCTAGAATAAATGATGTAATTTATTAGATAGCTATTATATAATATTGATTCCTACTAACATAGATGCAGAGATACGGATACACAGACGCCAACGATGGCTTGTAACAGCTTAGTAATAACAACTCTGTTACCTCTCTACAACTCTGTTACCAGTAGCTAGTAACATAGTTGTGCAGTAACAGAATGGTAAATTTAACTTTAGTGACATTTTTTTTAGAAATGAAAGTTTATTATGTACAAAGAAAAGCACATTCGATATATCTTACACTAGAGCTACTTCAATAATATAAAACTATACGCAAATATCTGAATACTTATGCGAAAACACAGGTAACAGAGTACACACAGAATAAAACCACGAGCCTCACACCGCAGCCATCGGATAAATGAATCGTGTACCCGCGCCTCAACCGCCGCAAACCGTACGGATAGAACAGTAGATATTTATGATGAAACAATTGCCAAAGAATGGATAGTGCCATCTCTTGGTATTTATCCGGTTTACTATAGTAAGAGAATGTAGCTCTAATATTTTGAAGACCTTGGGACAAAATTTAAAATAATCGTACAAGCTTCAATTAATTTATTTAATATGGATGAAGTATGTTTTTAAATGTGTTATGATTGCTTTATTACACTAGCTTTCAAACATAACAATTACATTGAATTGATAAAAAGATATTATGATTTTCGCATGATGCACTGCATATGGGACAGAATTTTTTTGTATGGAAAACAACTATGTTACCAAGAATGTTGTCTCTGTTACTTGATAAAAGTGGTGATAAATCAATAATAAAATTAATTTTTCTTGAGAATAAGCTTAGTAATTCGCCCCATATTTGACAAATTCAATAAAATTATAACAGTTTAATTAATATCACCGAGAAGAAAATATTTTTGCTCAGGGACGAATTTATCTGCAACCAATTTTAAATTGACCCCCTTACAAATACTTATTCTGTGCAGCATTCGAACCTGTGACCTTTAGTGCCGCAACTCAATGCTAGCCACTGCTCCGCGAGCTGTCAATGTTGTTTAAATGACATTTAGTTACTTACAGAATATATTTACAAATAAAAGAAATTGTTAAAATAGTGTCTTAAAAATAGGATGGTGGTGGTAATGGTGTTAAAGCAACATTCATTAAAAAAAAACAAGTTGTATTTAATGTTTATAAATTTATAAGGCTGTTTGAAATTTAGAGATTGGTTGACCAATGCTGGGATACATGATATAAATAATGATTTGATAATCTCTAATTTTCAGATCACATTAGCTGACCTTAATTTGGAACAAAGGAATGTCATTCAACATATTGCAGGTCCATCAACTAATAAACAACCACTGTCTGAAAATATTCAGAAGACTATAACTGTTTCAAATGTATTTGAGCCTGTTGCGGGTTCGTCAAAATTTATACAACCCTTGTGTGAGAAAGTAAATTATAAAACCATTCCTGACAAAACTAGTGATATTCCTCAAGTAACTGAGAATATCAACCCTGTTGCTGCTGCAAATCCATCCACGAAAAACAAAAAGGATAAAGATATGTTGATAAAAATGAAATATCATCTGAGAAAAATTAACAGGCTTCAAAAAACTGTAAAGCATCTAAAGAATGAAGCATTTCTCA